TCCTGCTGACTTCAAAAGGTGTCACACCAGTAAAACTTCCTCCTTTTTCCCTCTATGTAACACACTGAAAAGTGCCCCCTGCCAACTCAGATCTTACAGAGAGATACCCCGAGATGCTTGGTTTGATGGCTGCTTCCCCCATAACCCATCATAAGATGTTCACTTGGAGGAAGTCACCTTGGGTAAGATGTCAGCAAGCTCCTACCTGATTTATGAAGATACCTGCATGGCAAGCAAGAATGTGGAAAAGAGGACCAGGTCTCTAAACTAGCCCAGGGACAAGGAAGGTAAAGGGCTCTCATCTCACTGTGGATTCAGATGAATTAGTACCGTAGGAAGGTAATCTGTCCTGCAAGAAGAAATGCATGAGCCAGTGGAGGAAAGGAAGCCATCTCAAGTTAGGAGGACATGACTGCAGAGTTGGGGGTAGGGCTGGTTGCAGGGCAAGGGTTTTTAGGATTCAGGGGATAAAACGAAGGATCAGATTCTATTAAGGAGGTTTCAAGTTTCCGTGTAGGACAGGCAGCTTCCCTCTCCCTGATCTGTGTGTGTCTTCAGCATACTTCACAGGCCACATAAAGCCCACCCATTGCAACATTGTAAGTGGGCCTCATCCACCTGCATCTCAGAAAACAAGTGGGCTGGAGTAAGCTCTGCCCTTGGCCATCACCTTCCCCATCCCTCCTGCCCATAATTCTAGCACCTCCAATGGAGTGCACGTGTGCATGTATGTGTATGTCTACATATAACATATTGCACACACAAGATGCGAGGAGCTCAAGAACACCTAGAAGACCTCCATTGAGGAGATAACTACCATCAGGAAGTGTCTTCCTCCACCATTGCATTTGCTCCCCATGGCATCTCTCATCCCTTCCTCTCTCCAACACAAATCACACTCTTCTCCTAAAACCCCTCCCGCTCACGATATATCTCCTGTATCAGATTCCCCCATGACACATGCAACCAGACACATAGTTTTCAAGTTGCTTTGAATGATCGCTCTATAAAAGTATCAGCTTCATGGCTTGTGGTAACCTCCTGCAAACCAGGAAAGGGTGTGTGTGTGTGTGTGTGGAGAGGGGGTAAAGAACAACAATTCTCCCTCCGACAGCCCATTCTCCAACCTTTCCATTTCCCCAGCTGGAGCCAAGTCTCATCCTCCAGACCTTAGGGAGGAGGTCCAGTCCTTTCTTCTTGCTACATGGTGGGGTGGTTAGAACTCTCCTCATTAACAGTGTTATATACATATAAATATATATATATCTATATCTTTATATATATTTTTCCCCGGCACCATAGAAATGAGCTGAATTTCTCTTTGACGAAATGAGAAAAACAGCCATTTTATTTTTTGCCATTGGTTTGTTTTTTGGATACTAGCTCTGTGGCAGACAATTTTAAAAGCGCAAGCGTGTGTGTAAAAACAAACAAACAAACAGAAAAAAACCCCCCCACCCAAACGATGACAAAAAAAGAAGCTTTTTTCTTTTTTTTTCTTTTCTCAGTGTATTTAACTTCTTTTATCTCGTTTCTGTTTCTTTACATGTATGAATGCTCTGCTCTTCTGTGATCTTAAAAAAAATACAAAAAAAATACAAAAATGAAATAAACGTGAAAAGGAGGAAACGTGTCTTCATTCCCTCCCTGCCCCCACCACCCACCATCTGCCTTCAGAGTGGTGTCTCATCTCAGGAAACACTGCTATAGTGAAATTGTCAATGTGAAGGTGCCACCAAGGGAAAGCAGGGCCTGGGGCTGGGTCAAACGGCAGGAGCCATATACCAAAGCCAGCGGGAGATCCAGAAGCAGAGTCCACAACGCAGTCCAGGGGCAGGATCTGGGGGTCAGATGCTGAGTATCAGTCGGGGGAGGGCACGATCCACAGGACGAAGGCCAAGAGCAGAGCCAAAACAGGGTCAGGAGTCAGGAAACAGAACCACGGGGAAATCCAAGCCTGAAACCCAGAACTAAGCCAAAAACCATTAAGGAAACAGAAGGCTTTCCCCAGCAGAATGGGTGACTGCCCTGCAGACCCAGGGCCCCAGCTGGTGCTATATGGACAAAGCTGCTCCCAGCAGCCAATCCCTGACAGCACTGGGCCCAGGTTGGTCTGCCTGAACAGCATCCCTGACAAGGACTCCCGAAGCTGCTGTTTCACTGTAGCTTTGGAATCCAGGAAGATAACACCACTGCCACTCCCCTTTTCCCTTGCTACCAGCATTAGTTGGAAAAGGCTACTAAGCCCCCTAGTTTCAGCATGGGTAAGAGGCAGGGGAGGAGTGCTGGGAAGCAAGTGGTGTTAACTCCCTGAATTCCAGAGCTGCAACAGAAGCGCAGGGGCTACAATGATGGTGGCAGCAAGCTCCCCAGGCCACATCTGACCAAAAGAGGTATATGACCTAAACCATGAGAGGCCCCACAAGCTGGATGTTTCACCACTAGTGGTGAGTGGCCATGTCTACACGAGATGCTTACTGTGCAGTAGCTTATTACTACTGTGAAGTAGCATCAGGAGGCACAAACCATAGCATGACACTACTGCGCAGTAGTAATGAGCTACTGCACAGTCAGCGTCTCCAGGAAGCCATGCGTGGACGCTACTGCGCAGCAGCTCTGCTTGCCGCACAGTCATGTACTAGTTGGGTATGCAGGTAGTAAGTGACTGGGCAGTAACACCTGTGCAGTCAGTGGCTCATGTAGATGCGGCTAGTGTGACACACAGTTGAACAGTGTACTCAACAAGTATGTTGACAGACACAAAATTGCAATGTTTCCAAGTGAAATGCATGTGGAAACACTGAAATAAGGAATCATTCTAGCCAGGGGGCACACACATGCCCCCCATAGTATTACCCCATCTAGAACATTTTGAACTAATGGTTCCAGCTTTGGGGTAGGTGAGGGGAACCAGAGGGATGGAGCCCTCCTCCCATACAGCAAAATCTCCTGTATCTGTGAAGGGCCTGGAACCCACAACCTGTCTCTACATCTGTGTTCCTTCTGCTGCCCATGTCCTAGGAAGCCAGCAGTGCCTTGGCAGCATAGGCTGGGGCATGCAGCTTGCAGCCATGCTTCAATCTTAGGCTGTGCTGTAGACGAGGATGCAGAGAGGTCAGTGGAAGGCTGTGCTTAGTTCCTGCCCAGATCATGAACAAGTCTTTTTGGCAGCTGCTTTTCCTGAAGCACTGAGTACCTCTCCTATTCTGTGAGGGTTGGGGGAAGTCTGCATGTGCTCACCTGTAATGACAGTTGAGACAGAAGTGGGACTCAGTTGAAGTAACACAGTAGGAAATGAGACTTGTACATGCCCCTCCCTCCCCCCCGGCCCCACTTCCAACCAAAGGCTGCTCCTGAGAAATAATCAGCCCAGGCAAGGCTTTGTCTACCCAGGTCTTAAAACTCCCCAAGGATGGAGAATCCACCACCTCTTCAAGAGAGACACAGAGAATCTAGAGAGGGTTCAGAGGAGGGCCACTCACATGATTAGTGGCCTCCGTGAAAGACCCTATGTGGGGAGGTTGAGAGAGCTGGATCTCTTCAGTCTTTACAAAAGATGGCTGAGGGGTGACCTTGTAGCCGCCTATAAGTTTATCAGGGGAGGACAGCAGGGAATTGGTGATGCGCTATTTACCAGAGCGCCCCAGGGAGTAACTCGGAATAATGGGTGCAAACTAGTGGAGAGTAGATTCGGGTTAGACATTAGGAAGAATTTTTTTACAGTAAGGGTGGCCAGAATCTGGAATGGGCTTCCACAAGAGGTGGTACTACCACCCAACTTGGAGGTCTTCAAGAGAAGGCTTGACAGTCAGCTGGTTGGGGTCATCTGACCTCGGTCCTCTTTCCTGCCAGAGGCAGGGGGGCGGACACAATGATCTATTGTGATCCCTTCCAACCCTACAATCTATGACTCTGTGAATCTCTCTGGGTAACCTGTTCCAGTGCTTTACTGCCCTCCTAGTGAGAAAGTTTTTCTTACTACCTAATCTAAACTTCCCTGGCTCCAATTTGAGACCATTGCTCCATGTAGGAGAACAAGAGTTTATCAGTGCCTCATTTTTAGTTGGGGGGGTCAATACATACCCACTTATTACTTTGGTCAAGTGGTTATATTACTGATGGCAACTGGGATGTTGAAAGCATCTGAAACTGGAGAACAGTAATTTTGGTCCATCCAAGTGGAAGGTATCACACAAGACAGGGTGGAATGAAGTGAAGTGTGCTACTGCATGGCATTTTGCTAAGACCCCCTAGCCTTCATCAAGTGAGCAAGACAACAGTAGGTAGGCACACTACTTGCTAATGGCATCCTTCATACACATTTGGCTAATTAATTATTGGGGATTAGGAACAGGCATGATCAAAATTGATATTGGGGGAGGAGGAGTCTATTTGATGAGCCACTGGACTGGAAGTCAGAAAATGTTTTTTTAGTCCACGCTCTGCCATTGTCGTCCTGCCATATATGACCTTAGACAAGTCCCTTCTTTTCTCTGTGCCTTTATTTCCCTTTCCACACTGTGTCTGTCCTATCCCTTAGAAGGGCAAGGTGGGGTCCCAAGGTTTTATTCATGGAGGAACGCTTAATTGGTGGGACATCCCACTGAAGGCTATATAATTACATGGCTCTGCACTGCATTGTCTTTATGTTCAATAGGTGTGACGTAATAGAAATACAAACAACAAAGAGAACCCAGAATCTTTCCTTATGTCCATTCCAGTGGATCAGCATGCTGTTACTAAGCTGTATCAGTGAGTGGGTACATCTACATGTGCACTTTAATGTGTGTTAACTTATTTTAAAGTGTCACACACAAAAAACATGCACTTTCACTAATGTGTATTAAAATAGGTTAATGAGCCTTTTTCTAGTACCTCACAATGGGGGTACTAAACTTAATGTGCCTTAGCAAAAGTGCATTAATGAGCATGTAGACACACCCAGTTACTACAGAACACTCAA